ACAAAGAGATCAAATGGTTTGGTAGAATCCCTCCAGATGGCGTGCCAGTGCCCTCCACACCAGATGGCGTGCGAGTGTCCTCCACAGTAGTGTACATTAATCATCTTATTTTGAGTTCCAAAATGAGTATGCTCTAAAACATTAGTAATATCTTGTTAAATGTTTGTTGTTGACAAAGAATTCTGAAGGTTTATTTTAGTTAACAGATATTTGTATTCTATTAGGGGACATATATATTTTATGTTGTAGTTTGCACGACAACGAGCTGTGAAGGGGAAACAGGTTGTTCTAAAGGTAGAAAAACGTGGAGAACCACAGGGTGCAACACAGTCCACTGTGTCAGCACAAACGGAGATCCATGCCTCAAAATTAATGACATATTCAGAAAGGGATTTGAAGAAGAAACATGGTAAACCCAGTAGCAAATCAGTCTCAAAGGCAAGATCCGGAGATAAAGTTAGAAGTGGCATGACCCACTTGTCAACAGAAGAAAGAAAAGCAAAGGGTGAAGAGAGTAGCTTATCAAATGAAATTAGTAAAAAATTGGCATGCATCATGAAACTAGAAACAGATAAGCGGAAGAGGACCAAAATTGAGAAGGATGACTCACCACCACCATGGTTCAAGAAGTACATGCAGAAGGTATACCATTGCCTTTTTTTTATGACGTGGTTGTTAATGGAGAGGAACAAATAGATACGTTCCTTGTACAGTGTTTAGATTATCTGCATTTTAGTCATGGAAACGACTGTTAAGACAAATAGTATATAGGGCACGTGAGTTATATTTACCAAGTATTGTATTTAATTGGGGGCACGCGGTAGCGTAGTGGTTGAGGCTCTACGCTACAAGCTGTAAGGTCGCGGGTTCAAATCCCCGATGAGGTCACTGGATTTTTTCAGTTGACCTAATCCTTCCAGCCACACTAGGCCCTGGGGTTTACTCAGCCTCTGACAGAAATGAGTACCAGGAATTAAATAATTTTCCTGGGGAGTAAAGCGCGGCCAGCGTGTAAGGCTGACTTCCTTACTGCCATCTTTGAGCCGATTGTCTAGATAATGTGGGACCCCCAACGTCTCTTTACTTTTTTACTTTTACCGTATTTAATTGAAGGTTTGAAGGTTTCATGTGGTGATTGTCGAGATGGTGATCTTCTGGGTTGTGACACCATGTAACATTGTAGGTTACAGGCATCAGAGGAATGTGATGTCCTCATATTCAGGGTTGAATCAGGTGAGTTATGTAGACAGGTTATGATATTCATGGGAGGGAGGAGGTAGAGCCAGGTCTGGGCTCCTGTCCCCCCGTCTTGGATTTGAGTGACCGCCTTTGTTGGAACCTTCTAAATAACCCACCTAATTTTTCACTGTACATACTTCAACTCTGGAGATGACAACCTGTTCCTCCAAAACTTTCGTATCTACCTGCGAGGCTACACAGTGTCAGAGTGCAGAAAACCTCAGACTCTTGGAAATTGCCTTTTATGCTAATAATGCCTTAATTTCTTTTTGACAGTTCAAGAATGAAATTGTAGCAGAAATTACAACAAATGTGATGTACAATACAAGACAGGTGTTAGAGAGTACCAAGGCTAGCACTCACCCCTCATGTTGCTGTATTGAGAGGAAAAGTGGGTTAGTGGCTGCTACCAAGAGCAAAAAGAAAAAGAGTTCTGATGAAGATTCTTCAGATGGTGGCTTGAGCAATGACCAAAGGTCAGTAAGAAGAGAAAGGTTTGAATATAGTTAGTGTATCATGAAGAAAAGTATTTTTTTAGTATGATCTCTTAAATGTCTATTCGATGAAAAGTTTTGTACGTGCAGATATACTGTCAATACATGGTGTGTCCAGGATCTGTTAGGACTCATTTTTTTAAATTTTGCCCTGCAATGCCATCTGTTGGTGAATTGTGGCATTAAGATTCTTGAAGTTTCAGCTGTGGTTGTCTATAATTTCAAAGCGCAAGCATCGCTGTGTCATGTGTTCTGACATTGAATGTAACAGTACTGTTCTGATGCTCATCGGAAAATGGCGGTTGAACAGAGAGCCGACATCAAATAGTGTGTGTCAAGTTAGGCAAAACAGCCGGAGAAGCATACAAAGTGGTGAAACGTGTGTACGGTAGTGATTCGTTGTGCCGCTCTAACATTTTTCGATGGTATGATGTATTTCGTGACAGCAGGGAGGACATTGAAGACGCTGCACGTACATCAAAGCCGAGAACAAGTCGCACTGAAGAAAATGTAAAAAATGTGACCAAAATCATTGCATCAGACAGATTTGTTTCTACAAGACTCATCGAGGAGCTTTTGGGAATACCAAAAAGTACTGTGCATCAATTTTGACCGAGGATTTGGGCAAACGGAAGGTCTGTGCTCGGTTTGTACCGCATGCACTGTCAGGCAATGAAAACATGCCAGAGTGGAACACTGCAAAGACATGTTACGGTCTGCCCAAAGTGATACAAATGAATACAAAATTGATTGTTACTGGTGACAAGACATGGTGTTTTGAATATGAGCCTCTCACAAAGCGGCAGAGTGAAGCGTAGTTGAGCCCAAAGAAGCCAAAATCAAAGAAAGTGCACATGCAAAAGAGTCGAGTAAAGACACTGCTAACCATTTTCTTCGATTCCAAAGGAATCATTCACAAGGAATTTCTGCCAGAAGGTCAAATGGTGAATTCTGATTATTATCTCAGAGTCCTCAGCCGTTTGTGGGCAAGAATTCTTTGAATTCGACCTGAATATTGAGAGCAAGGTTCCTGGTTGCTCTTCCACAACAATGCCCCACCCCACAAATCAAAGATCATGCGTGATAATTTGACCAGAAACGATCATTACAGTCCTTGATCATCCTCCATATATGCCAGATTTGGCTCCAGCAGATTTCTGGTTGTTCCCAAAAGTTAAATTGACGATGAAAGGAGACCATCACTACACCATCCAGGACATCCAAAGGGAACGTACCACAGTTTTAAATGTGATTCCACAAAAGGAGTACAGTGACTGTTTTCGAAAACTTTTCATTCGATTCCAGCTATGTATTGATTCAGAAGGAGACTCCTTTGAATAAAAAGAGTGAAATTTTGAAAATAATTCATGTCTTGTGTTTTTAATGAACACAGTCCTAACAGCACCTGAACACACTGTGTATCCAGATAACACAACAAGAAATTATAGGTTCCAGATTTAGATGAAGATGATTATTGGACAACTACTCGTAATTACAATTACTCTCAAATAACGCCCTTTCAGACGAAGCGACCTGATTGGTCTATCATATCTCACATTTCCTCTTCAAGGCTTATACTCTTGCACTGCTCTTCTCGGTGGAGTATCTTTACTCTTGGTTCTTCCCTTACCTCACATCGGATCTGACCTGCTCTGTCCCGTGTTCCGTCTGGTCTCTCATATCTCACATTTAAACGGAATAGAAGACACCTTTCCAGCAGATGACAACAGGAAGACTATTGCTGGTGGTTTGACCTACCAGCAGAATTAGTATTGCTTGCAGTGCTCTGTCAGCACAACGAGTTACCATGGTCTCATGCAGCATCATAACATTTTTGTAGTGTATAGAGATTTGCTGTATTTTCAGTTCAAGGGCTCACTCAACTTTCAGCAATCTGATCATTGGGTATAGTAAAATTTTTTTTTTTCTTGTTTTGTTTTGTTTTGTTTTGTTCACCACAAGAAGTTTCAGAAATGTGATTGTTTGCTATGTCATGGTGTTCTGTCCATTTGCAAAGTAACTGATTTAAAAACTGCTTAAAGGGTTTCATGAAAATTGATCTTGGGAAGTTTTACTAGAATTTGCTGACATTCAAATTTTGATTAATTTGGCACAATAATAATGACACTTCATATGAGGACCTACATGCTTTTTCTTTGTGCATCTCAAACATAGCTCATTAAGTACCTATTCAAGCGAAAAATGTTTTGAACAAGAGTTGGAGAGAAACAAAAAATGCATTTTGTAGCCAGTACCCTTTTTCTGCAAGACTTGCAGTTCTTCAAATAATGAAACAAAAGAGAGCAAATTTGCCAAACTTGTTACATTATGTATACATTTCCTAACTTGTTATATTTATTTTCTTCAAAATTCAGGATATTACCTTTGAATTTGTTGATTCAAAAGCCATTCTCTAGGTTTCTTGTCTGTTATTTTGTTAACGTTAAACTTTTATCAACAGTTTAATTGTTTCTTGCATCCTGTTGTGTATTTAATCAATATTAAAGTCAATTTTACCGACCACACAACATATTTGTATTATTATTACACTACATGTTTTGACCTCAAGAGGTCATCCTCAGGTGTATGAACACAGCTGTATAATTACACGCAATCACATTCGTCTTTTCACTTATTCGATCCTGTATCTTATTCAGGCTCACGCTCAATAATATATCAAGCTCTCTCATAAAACACAAGTTAAAATTGTTCTAAAGGTCAAAAGTTAAAATTTAAATTTAAAATTGTTTAAAAATTTTAAAGTTTGTGAATCGAATTTCAGTTCAGGTCACTTGTTATGCTTTCACTTCCACTTGTATTCAGTCACTTCCTACTTACGTTCATCACTGCGTCAAGTTCACTTTAACTAGTTTAATTATATTATTGATTAAACGTTCATGAATTAAAGTTCAATTTTATTATAGATTGCACTTTTTCACTTTTGGAGGTCTTGCTGTTCTACTGTGTCTTCTGAAGTTGTGGATCTGTTACGGTCCATGTCATGATGAGTAGCCATCATGACATGGACCATAATTTTAACTTGTGTTTATGAGAGAGCTTGATATATTATTGAGCGTGAGCCTGAATAAGATACAGGATCGAATAAGTGAGAAGACGAATGTGATTGCGTGTAATTATACAGCTGTGTTCGTACACCTGAGGATGACCTCTTTAGGTCGAAACATGTAGTGTAATAATAATAATAATAATAAAAATATGTTGTGTGGTCGGTAAAATTGACTCTTATATTGTATCAACAGTTTCATTTATTGTAAAATGGAATTGTTGAATTTAGTGACTTCCTGTTTGGAATATTTAGGGATCATAAACTGCTGAAGAAAATAGAAAAACTTCATAAACGAGAAAAGAAACTTGAAAAGAAACTGGACTCGAAACTTGAGAAGTTGGAGAACAAAACAAAGCGAAGAATGGAGAAGAAATCCCAGAGTAAATCACGCCCTGAGCGGCCTTCTGAGAAGATCTGCGGAGGCACAAGGAAGAAAATGAGTGACGGGCCTGTGGGTACATATTTGATGGATGCTATACTACTGAATGATGGACACAGACCTACAGAGACGCATATCAGGCTAGGAGAACGTTTTACAAAAGTGTGGGAGATCATGAATAATGGTACTCTCCCGTGGACTGATAAGGTAATGTAAATTTCAAGTCACTGATGTTTTTTTGAAAAAATGATTTTGTATGTAGTAGAGTTACCTACCTACCACTTGGCGCTACAGCCCTGGGTGAACCTTGGCCTCCTCTACAGCCAGTCTCCACAACCAATGCATGCTGCCATACGAATGGACCCACGCATGATGACCCAAGGCTGGTTGTTAGGTTTCTGAACAAAATTCTTTTTACAAGATGAGGTTGTTAGCCTCATGCCCAACCCTCAACCTGGAGAACCAGGGCATCTCTCTACCCTTGACCTTTCTGGCATGGGTGATCCTACCGGTAGTTAAACTACTGCCGGCATAGCTATCCAGGTCACAGAGTCACGCAAGTTCCACCATCACGATAAGGTGGAGACACTTCTGGGGGATGTAGAGTTATATGCGAAAAATTACTTTAAGTTGCATGTAGTAAAACTGATGTATGATGTGCAGTGTTTGATGTTATGTATAAGAAGGTAAGAGAAAAGATTTACGTATTGAAGTGCCCTAAAATCATGTACAACCATAGATATCAGCCTTGAGATACTGTACATGTTGGAACGTGTCTGGGCAGTAATATTAATCTGAAGCTACGTCAAGAATGCATGATGTAATTTTCTGTAATGTGATAAACAATACTTAAAAGATATCTTTTCCTGTTATTAAATATGGCAGAGTTTTTCTTCTTAATGCTCTGCAGGTCACTAATTGTTATTAATTTTCTCTTCAGTTTTCAGTAATGAGCTTTAACTATTTATACTACAATGCAGTGTTTCCCAACTGGCTGGACACAACAGGTGGCAGTGTGGGATGTGAGGTCCCAAAAATAGGCACTTCCATTAATGATTAATAAAATATTGAAATGTACATGATTGTAAAAATATGCTTTGTTTAAAATAGGAAGTTTAGTTTTTATTATGATGATACTACAGTTTTGTAACTAAATGATTGGTGGGGTTTGCGGTGCAGGAGGTTCAGAATTGATGTGTAATACAGTGGAACTTCCATTTAATATTCCATATTTTAAAGTATTACCACACTTGATGTTAGATTTCAGTGATTCACAGTCAAGTACCTGTTAAATTACCTCCATTTAAAATTTTCCTCAGTTCAATCTTCAGATCCACTGCCCCCAAAACAAATATTAAATAGGGATTTTTCCTCTGTACCTCTTGACCAGATGATAATTATAAGCATTTATTATGTTGAAGATTGTAGGGTTTAAAAATAATTGCTGTTACCGAACTATTGTTATTGCCAAGCTCTGCCGCCATTCAACATGTATGCTGCTTTGCTTCTTAATGACAAGAAAGATGTCTTGTAACTGTTGTTCCAGTAAAATATACAAATACTGTTTTTATTTAACCAGTGAATTAATCTGACTCTTGCTCACCTAAACGAGTAATCATTGCCACTCAGTCTGCCATCTTATCTGCTGGCAGAATATAGTGTATGCTGTTTGAGTAAAGGAATGCAACCTGTGATGCAGTATTCTCTCCTGGAATGTAATGCTGTGTAGTCAAGTAGAAGTCCTCAGGAATGTTGCTGGTCTTCTACAGAATTACACTGTTTTTTTTTCTTAGTGGGCTGGGACTAAGTCCACTTTGTACTGCGGCCACTTCTGGCCTATTGTACCATCCGCAGATGATAGATGAGGGTGATTGTGGAGCAATTGATGGAATGAAGATTGGCAGGGGAAAACGAGGTACTCTGAGAAAACTTGCCCCATCGCCACTTTGTCCACCACAAATCCCACATGACCAAACCCAGGCAGCTGGGGTGGGAAGCCAATGAGTAACCACTGAGCTATGGCACAGCCTTTATGCAGTGTTAATCCTAGAAGCTATTACTCTTCATAGTTACTGCTGTGAGAACATTTGTTGCAGTGCGTTCTCAAGCAGCCATATTCTTTGTCATTTGCTTGCTTAACATGTCTTTGACCCTGAAGATGGAAGCAGTATGTTCCTCCAAAATGTTGGTGACTATCTACAGGACTACAGCGCATCACATCTGAGAAGATTTCTTATTTTGTGAATTATCTGTTTTTATATAGACTGAGCTTCGGTTGGCGTGGGGATCTTCTGGTCTGCAACCCAAAGCAACAGTTCTGAAGTGTCCAATTTTAATGCCTGGAGAAAAGGGTATAATTGCTGTTACTTTCCAAGCACCAGGTAACTATAATATTTAAATATTTTATGAATGTTGAAAATTTGGCTGCAGCATTTGTCAGACACATTTTCTTGAAACATATAGGCATGGTTGAAAAGTATGTTGTGAATTGTATTGAGTTTCATGCAGTTTATAATGTGTGGAGAAGTGGGTATTTTTGCTCCTTAACCTTTAAGAGTCGGCATTTAAACCCCCCACGACTGCACTGCTGCCGGAGTTAAATTGACGTTGCCCTTTTAATATTGTAGACTTTCAGAAAAAACTACATATTTTCCGTTCTATGCAGCTTAGAAATACGAACTAAAAACCGCCTGATAGAGAATGAAATTTCCTACAATATACCTATGGCAATTTTTACAAATAAAAATTAACTGTGATTGTTATGTCATGAAATTCAAAATATACTCTCTATTATATGTGTAATGAAATTCCAAAAGACTTACCCATAATTTTTTCTTCAAACTTGAGACGTCGTTATATCCAAAATACATTGACACTATACACCAAAATGTTTGGTCAGACTGTACACGAGTTTCAACTCGTTGCGTCGTGTAAGTTTACGCTACTATAGATACTGCGTGCGGGAGCGCGGAAAGGCAGAGTTTGCTTCAGCGCGTTGTGAAGGTCACACAGACCTCACTTCTCATACGCTGGTAGACAATCTGGTTCAGTCTCTCGCTTAGCGAACAAACAGGAAGTTATTGTTTCTATCTGGCTGGCCGGACAGTGTTGTCAATGTTCAGTTCCAGACGACTCAATGAAAAATCTTGGCTTCCCCAGAGAAACACCAATTACCGTAATAAATCCCCTCATGCAATTGACGAATAAAATCCAGCCCCAAATATATGTTCATTGACAAAGGACACCCTCAAATCACAGTTTCTTTTTCATCACACACAGGTGCGCGTGTGCCAAATTTCATGCAGCTCATCTGGATCCAGATGTCTGGAATTATGTGCACGTTCCATTTTGGGGGCGGCAGGGGGGTTTGCTGATTGTTCGGATACACTGATACCGAAAGTCACAGTGATGAGGATGCCTTTTATTCACAACGTAATTTTGTGACAGTCTGACACTGACTTCCTGACTCCACTGACTTCAGTACAAAACAAAAAAGTAACCCTGAAAGCACAGTCCGCCACTGACTCACAAGCTGATAATTCAGACACTCACTAAACACGTCACACTTCCTTGAGAGCTACAGAAGCAGTGATCTACCCGCACAGAGGAATGTTGGGTCAGCTTTTCTGTGAAGAAGCTTCCACTCTGTTTGGCTGACCAAGTCACAAACAGTCTTACCTACATGTAAACGAAATCGAACCCAGTGCCATGATGAAGGGTTTTATTGTTCAGAGCTAACAACTGGACTTCTGACTTGAACTTGCGTGGGTTTGTGTTGGTTTCAAACTCAAGGTCTAACCATCAGCACTTCTAAAGTGAGCACGTGTCTTGCGTCCAGTATACTGGACTTTCGGCATCTTCGAGGTCACAGGTACGGTCCGGTATACCGGACTTTCGGTCGTTAAAGGTTAATGTAGGTTCAGGATGACAGATTCAGTTCCATTACTGTAAAAGTTTATATGCATCACACACCACATGCTACTGATAATGGATGAAGTCTATAAAATTTGAGGTTCTCACTGTGATGATTATGAAGAATTCATTGTTTTGAATATGTTTTAATTATTGTTTCAGAATTCCCTGGGACATTTGAATCTTACTGGCACTTTTACCACATGGGAGTGAGGTTTGGACATTGGTTGGGTTGTGCTGTTATTGTGGATTCAAAAGAACGTGAGAAAGAAGTAACAAATGTGAGACCAGCTGATCGACATGGTAAATCGTGTAATATATTGTATTTACTTGCATAGTGTTCTTTTTAATTTTGAGAAGAAAATAATTTTTCCCCCCCACTCATAGCTCACTTTCTCTGTTCTCATATTGTTATGGTTTGCTTCAGTACAGATATGAGAAATGTTTGCCTGAAACCTACACAATGTAATTATTTTTCCACACAAATGTAAGAAGTTTGGATTTCAGGTGATAGCTATTTCATAGGTTTCGTCCAGCAGTGTTCATAAAATGTGTTGTAATGAAGCTCATGCAACCCCTAATCCAGTTTGCTCAACTGTGAGCTAGGCTATATAGCTTTGACTGGTAAGGTGATAGGTAAGTAACAAATTGGAAAGTATTTGGAAATGGTAGTAGCCTAATCAAAGGTCTATCATGGCACTTGCCAGGAGGGACTGAAGAAAATGAAGTCAGTCAGTATAGCAGGTGTCTGGAGTGAAACGTGAGCCAGGAGCCTTCAGATTACTTGATTGTAACATTCTGTTTAATTTAGTGATCATAGTTTACTGTATCGTTTCATTAGCAATCATTGTAAGTGTACACATGAATGTGGAGTGTAATTTTCGTCAAGAGTTATATCTTCTGGGTTATAATGCTGTGTAAAAGTAAAATGTAAAATTGTCCCTGTGCTTAACTAATTAAGCACTATGCCTTGAAAATAATGCTGTATAGTACACTGAAAGTCAACCAGTGCTCCATTTGCCACATGCTTCATGCTGGTTTCTTTCATGGCATGTTCTTTGACTCAAAAGAGGGAGACATCTTCCTCTGAAATGTTGGTCGACTTTCAGTGGAGAACCATTTCATTATATCTAAGAAAATTGAACTCTGCATAACCACTGCTGTAAGAACCTGAAATACTACATGTAATTTTCAATTTTGTATTTTTCAGAATCAGTTCATGACAGTGAGAATAATAATGATAAAGAAATGTCAAAGACCAAAGCAGATCAGCCTGTCGATTTGAGAAAGAAGTATGAACCCAACCAAGTGGTGGGCTCCTCAGCCACCCAGTCCGTGGCTGGAACAGATGATGCATATGAGACGATGAGTGAAGATAAGGCAGCATCCACAGAGAAGGGAAAAGATGAAACCAAGGAGAGAAGTGCTGAATATGAAAGTGACTCAGATGATGAAAACCTAAGTATCATCTCGGGCACTATTTCTATCACTTCGGATTCTGAAGAAGACGAGAACTTTGTGTTAGTACCAGTGCCACCCTGTTTCATCTGTGATGTGCCACTGGAAGAGTCGGGTAAGTTTTATATTTAGAAGTCTCCATACACTGTTTATTAAATTTTTCAAGCCCTTAGATGCATGAAGATACTGGGATATCTCACTACAGCAGTTATGCTAATGGGTAGATGACTGAGGAGTCATGGTTCAGTTCTTGGCAGGGGCAACAGATCTTTCTTGTCTCCACAGCATCCAGACTGTCCTTTGGTATACCCAGCTTCCTATCCAGCGAGTACCAGCTGCTGTTTCCACAGGGGTAAAGTGCTCATTTAATACCAATGTTAAGAATGCATGGAGCTAAACCTTCCATTTCTCCCATCTGTTTTCGTAGTGTGGTGCTTACATAAGTGCACCGACAGCTTTACCTATTACTTGTACCTTTAGATACATATAAATTGCTTGTACAAAAGCTGAAAGTTGAATTGAATGTGAGATGTATGCTGATAAAACTGGATGTGTTCTGTGGGATTAGAACCGAGGTGATATAAATAAAATTATTAGTAGGAATGTACTGATGATTCTCTGCTGTGTTCACCAGCCTAGAAGATGTAGCATGATATGTTTGGTAGTGAATAATGCAGCCATAGAACTAATGCTGAAGGAAGCAGTGATGTGGATGGAGGGACTGGTGATTCTTGAAGCACCCCCCTTTCTGCCTTATCTTGTTGTCCCCTCCAGCCCCCTCATGTCGTACATTACATAACATTGCATTGCATTCCATGTATCCAAAGTTAATCAAAATGATTGTAGGATGTGGAATATGTCATATAAATACAAAACATATGTACAGACCCAGTGGAGTTCTCACACAAGAGAAACCAAGAATACACAGTGACTACACACAAGGCTATTTAAAGATACATAAATTATTTTCTAGACAATAGGTATTCGTCAACAGAGTAGAATGAATGTGTATTTAAGAATTGTTTCAGTGCTATTTTAAATCGTGCCTTTCGTTCATAAGACCTTTGATATCAGATGGCAGGTTATTAAAAATGTTGATCCCAGCATAATATGCGCTTTTCTGAAAGCGTGAGAGGTTAGAAATTGGTTTATGACGACGGTGTTTGTGTCTTGTGTTAACACTGTACATCCGCATTTGTCTGAAAATGTTCTTCATTATTTGTAATGAAGTTTATTAATGAATATATATATATATATTCATAAGGCAAAGTTAAGATCTGTAGTCTCTTAAATAGATCTCTACAGGAATTACGGGATTTGACACCCATCATGATTCTAACAGTTTCCTTTGCAATGTAAATACCTTTTTGCTGTCAGATGAATTACCCCAGAAAATTATTCCATACTTCATTAAAGAGTGAAAATAAGTAAAATAGATTGATTTGAGAGTGTCAGTGTTACTAATATGTAACATGAATCTAACTGCATAACATGCTGTACTTTGGAATCAACTGATCGATATGGTTTTTCCAGTTTAAATGATTATCAATTTGCAAACCAAGGAATTTTGTGTTTACTTCCTCTTCTGTATATTTATCATTATATCCTATGTTTAATGGATAGTGTGGTGAGTTTTTCATTATAAATTTTATTACATTTGTATTTGCTAGGTTTAGTGACAGCTTGTTTGCTGAAAACCATTTACTCATTTGTGAAAGAACCTTGCTTGATAACATGCAGAAATCATCTAAATTTTTACCAGAAATTATAACACTAGTGTCATCTGCAAATATTGTAGGTATTGATGATGTCCTTAGTGTAGGAGGGAGGTCATTTATATAAATTATGAAAAGCAAAGGCCCCAAAGTTGACCCCTGTGGAACTCCCATGTTTTATTATTCCCCAGTTTGAGTAGGTACTTTGGATTGAATTTGATGATTTTATTTCAGTCTTTTGTTTTCTGTCTGTTAGGTAGGATCTGAACCAAGTTAACGTTGTTCCTTGAATGCCAAAAGAATGTAATTTAGTTAATAAAATTTCATGATTTACACAGTCAAAAGCCTTTGCCAGGTCACAGAATATTCCACCAACATGCATTTTTTGATTAACAGATTTCAACACACTGTCCGTTAACTTAAAGCATGCATTTTCAATGGAAAATCCTTTCCTAAAGCCAAACTGTTCTGGGACTAGTATATTGTTACTCTGAAAATAGTGGCTTAACCTATTGTGCATAACTTTTTCAGGTACTTTAGAGAAAGTAGTTAGCAGTGAAATTGGCCTGTAGTTTGACATACTAGTCTTGTCCCCTTATTTATATAGTGATCTTACTAATGAAATCGTAAGATGATGAGGAAAGATTCCTGTGGATAGTGAGTGATTACAGATGTGAGTTAATGGGCTACTGATTAGAGATGCACAAACTTTTAAAATTTTACTTGTTATTCCATCATAGCCTGAAGAGTTTTTTGTTTTGAGGGAGAGAGAGACATCGAGAAGAAGAACCTTACTCAGGGAACTGGTGGACCCAGGAGGAAGCGATCGGTCGTGGCTGACAAGAAGATAACTAGCTGTGCAAATGTGACACAGTGCAAGAGACTCAGACTCCAGGGAGATCAGTTGGAGTCACGCACAAGCCTGCGTAAATATGTGTCAAAGAAAGCACTGAAGGACTTGAACGTGAGAGGACGACACAAGGACTTGTCCTGAAAAGAAAATTCTAGGCGTGTGCAAGTGCACAAGCAGACGTGCTGCACAGAATCTCAGCAGATACGAACATCAAAAACTGGACACTATGCAGGGGTTGACCCCCTCCAAAACGAAAAAGAAGCAGAGCACAGAAGAGGAGCTGGTAAATTAGAAGCACCGGCCTCCCCAGAGAGAATGAATGTGCGATGGCTGAATGTGATACAGCTGGATCTTCTGGCAAGTTAACAGGAAACCGCTTGAGACGAGCTGGTCTTAAGAGGGGAGCAGATGTAACGGACGGAGGATAGTCTCTGCAAGAGTAGTAGCCGGATAAGAAAGAAGAAGACATTGCAAGAACACCCTGCAAATAAAAGGAACAGGATGTACAATCAGGCTGTTTGGGACGAACAGCCTTAAGAAGGGAGCAGTGTGACATACTGTGCTATGGAGGACATCCCCTCCCCCGCCAGCAGAGACGTAACAACATCGGAGCGCTGTCTCTATTACGGTAACAGGCTAGTCAGCACTCTGCCCCCAGCCCCCCCCGCGGTGATGTAGCGGGGGATGCCATGGTTGCTATGCAGCAATAAACAACTCTTGGCAGCGTTGCCCAACAACGCCTTTGTAAACACGGCGACTAGGCAACAAGGAAGTGAGGTGTTTTTCCCGTTGTTTGGCTGAGAGTTTATAAGAGAACTACACTGCCCAAGGAGTCAGTTTAGAATGCAGCAGCCGCCGAAGACAGTTGAAATATAGCAGCAGTCGCGGAAAGAAGACCCGAATGCGTGGTTAGAAGATCTTAGGTGATAGTGTGCGATAACAGAAGTCAGCAAGTGAAGACTTATTGTGTGACTTCAAGATTGTGTGCTGTAGTACAGTTATATTGGGAGTGTGTAATTAAGAGAGACTTGTATAGCTCCCGAGTTATAAATACGTGAAGACTACTGAAGAGATTGTTGTGTAAGGTTGTAAAGTGTGTAAACCTGTAACAGTGTTATAAGTTTTTGTAGTTATGATTTGTAGGTTGTTATATAAGCCAATTAACAATCCAAATGGCGTCTTCAGTGGCAAAACACATTACAGTATTATACTTTTTATTTCAGTTTCAGTGGTTGGAATGGTTTAAATACCAGGGAATTTTCTAGGAAATGCCTCTCTTAAAATTGAAATGACATTATCTCCTACTTCCTGATGCAAGTTTAGATTTTCTGTAATTGTTAGAAAAAAAGTATTTAACCTTTAATGCCCAGACTTTTAAATTGCCGGCAGCTCCCTATGGCCGGAATTTGAATGGCCCTAAGTTTAACATTGCAGACTTTCAGAAAAAAATGCATATTTTCTGTTCTATGCAACATCGGAATATGAACTAAAAAGAATCTGAAAGACAATAAAATTTTCTACATATACAAAAAAGGGCAGGTTTTACAAATGAAAATTAACTGTGATTATTTTGTCATGAATTGCAAAATATAATCTTTATTATATGTTACGAAATTCTAAAGACTTACACGTTGTTTTTCTTCAACCTTGAATCGTGTTGGTGATGTAAATATGATGACACTATATGCAATAATATTTGGTTCGGACTGTACACGGTTTGGACTGTGTCACTTCACAGTTTACACTCTGACGTGTGCGTGTCCCACTCTTGAAGCAGTCCACGAGACACAGCGCAACATCACACATTACAGTAGAAAAGCCTGCTCCTGCTTTTCTTCTCAATAGAACAAACATGACGTCTTTGTTTCCCATTAGCTGGCCAGTGTTTTGAATGTTTCACCTCAAGTCGACTCAGTTGGGCCCCAGATGAACTTGGCCTCCCCTGAGAAACGCCACTGACCGTGATATTCACCTCATGTGATTGAAGAATCAAATCACGCACCAAAATTTTGTGGAATTTTTTGTGCATCATTTTTCCATCACATGACTTGTGTAACAGATATGCGTTGAGAATAGTCATATCTAGAAGGTGGAATAACAATTTCTTTGTCCACTTCCATGTCCTCCGAGCAATGTCATAGCTGTTCACCATTCTATCAGATATGTCCACAGAGCCCATGTGTGCATTGTGGTCTTCAATTACTTGAGGTTTGATAGGATGGCCAGATTCATCTCGGAAGTTGCCATCCAGTGTAGGAAGGTGCATCAAGTTCTTCCAACTCTTCATCAGATTCATCTTCCATCAATATTTCCTCAGGTTCTTCAGCATCGAGGAATTTTGAGTATCTGGCTCGTTTTTGAGGTTCTATCTTGGGGGAGGGGGCTTCCAGCTAAATCCTATACTTTATGATGATTGAAAAAGCGAGACTGTTAGGAACACTCACAAAATTGTGGTACAAAGTAATTGCAATAGCAGTTGAAAAGTGTCAGTCCGCCACTGATACCGAAAATCACAGTGACGAAGATGTCCTCACGCACAAAGTAACACTGGCTCAGTGGGTTTATACCCCTTCTGAGATACACAATAAAAATGATATACAAAGAAATAAAGGAGTCTGACACTGACTTCTTACTAATAACGAAATATTAGAAAATCCGCCACTG